CCCTTCTGCCTGTGTTTCCTTTCAGACCCTCTAGACATCAACCCCAGTGTGGACTTCCTCTTTGACTGTGGGCTGGTGGGACCAGAGGAGGTGTCTGCAGAGCAAGATCTGCCTCGTGCTGTCCGGAAGGTGAGCTCTCTGTGGGTACTGCCTGCCTAAAGCTCTTTGGGTTTGGAGTGGGAGCTGCTGTCTGGGATGTACAAGTGGTGCTAGAGGCTTTGGCGTGCTGGGGAGGTTGTGCCCTCTCCCTCCAGGGCATGCCTGGCCTGTGGGCTACTCCTTGAATGAAAATACTTGCCTGTCACTTTGGAGGAGCTTTGCATGCCACAGGTCATGTGAGAGCTGGCCTCCTGCCTGTGGGTCTCATAACTACTGGGCCTTGTTGGCTTGGCTGTCAGCAGAAGGATGACATGGGCACAGGCACGCTGCGAGGGAGCTGGCAGCCAGCAGGTCTGGCCAGGACTCTTGTGTCTGTCCCAGGCAGGTGCCCAGTTTCACAGTACACCTCTCTGCAGGGGCAGAAGCGTCTGGTGCTCTCTGAAAGCTGTTCCCGGGACTCCATGAGCAGCCAGCCCAGCTGCACAGTGCTGAACTACTCATATGGCGTGAATGCCTGGAAGTCCTGGGTGCAAGCCAAGTATGCAGGGGGAGAGACCAGCAAGGGAGAGGAGCTACGCTTCGGCCGTAAGTGCCCTGCCTGGATGGGGTGGAGTGACAGAAATGTCCCAGAAGCTGAGGTGCTCCTGGCCTTGCAGACTATTGTCTGAGGCTGCTGTGCTTGTCTCCACAGCCAAGCCCATGAGGATCAAGGAAGACATCTTGGCCTGCACAGCAGCTGAGCTCAACTACGGCCTGGCCCAGTTTGTCAAGGAGATAACACGGCCCAATGGGGAGCGCTATGAACCGGACAGCATCTATTACCTCTGCCTTGGCATCCAGCAGGTGAGGGAGGGCTTGCTGCCCTCAAGTCCTCCACAGTCAGACCTGGGAGTCAGATCTGGTGAGGGGAGCTTTTACCCTTTATTCTGAATTCTGGGAACTCAGAGAGGCTCACTGGACTCCCCTTCAGTGCCTTGCCCCAGGACAGCAGCCCACCTGGTTTGGTCTTTGTTCCCAAGCCCAGTGGGTAGGGTGGCAGCTATTCCCCAGCCTTGCTCCCTTCTTGCACATCCTTGAGGAGGGCAGGGAGATCTCCCCAAACTCAGTCCCTTCTTCAGCACCAAATCTGCTTTGCCATGCAAAGGTTGGGGTTTTTCTCACAGCTCTCAGAAGTGGCTGGGTTTAGGAGCTCTGGTTGTACCAGGAGGGTGCTCTGCATGTGTGCCCTGGGCTCTCTGGGGAGGGTTTGTATTCCGGGTGCTGCCATGTCTCTCTTGATGGTGTGTTCTGTCCTTTCTAGTACCTGCTCGAGAACAATCGTATGGTGAATATATTTACAGACCTTTACTACCTGACCTTCGTGCAGGAGCTGAACAAGTCCCTGAGTGGCTGGCAACCCACAATCTTACCAAATAGTACGTGTCTCCAGAGTACCTTCAATCACCACGCGTACCCAGTTTGTGCTTCTAGCCTTGTATCCTCTGGTCTGATTATGCTCCCCCCAGCCTCAACCCTTTTCCTTGACATAGGCAGCACAGTCCCTCTGTGTCTTGGGGTCATACTGACCCATACTGCCAGCAGAGCCAGCCTGGTTTACGCCTCAGCAGCTTCTGTTGCCCAGAGTCAGGGTAGCTGGGAGCAGAGCACAGCTGCTTTGTGTCCTGGGACTGTTTGAATCTTTACAACGCTTACAGTGACATCTCCACCCTTTGGCAAAGATGATACAAAGCTGGGAGGCACACTGTCCCATGCCTTTGTGTTCCCAGTATGTTGGCGAGCCCTGCACGCTGTGCTAAGGTTGGCCAGGGTTGCTGTGCTGCTGCCATGTGAGTGGATGAACTTGGAGCTCTGCAGAGGCTTGTCGTGGTGCGGTGATCTGGGCTGCCTTCCCTGCTCTGTCTTGACAGGGGTTAGTTCACAGATCCAGCCTCACCTCTGCGTATTGGCTGTCCCAGGCAGAGGCATTCGGCTCCAGACCTGTGTGTCTAGGCCTGCCTGCTGCTTTTCCTTCATCTCACACTGTGTGGTGGAGCAATGATCTGGAGTTCACTTAGTGGCCATCTATAGGGATGAGCGATTAGGAGTGATTTGGGTTCTGACCTGTGGTTTGGCTGCACTGTGGGGTGGCTCGTGGCTGGGCAGAGCCAGCATCTAGCTCTGCTGATGACTCTGGAGAATTAACCTCATGGAAGAGGGTATGTTGTTGTGAAGTGTCAGTCTTTTGCAGTGAGCTTGCCTGGGCAGGGTGAAGGCATTGCCACAAGGCCACAGTTGATGTGACTGGTTCTTCCTCTGTGCGTTGCAGACACAGTTTTCTCACGTGTTGAGGAAGAGCACCTCTGGGAGTGCAAGCAGCTGGGTGTTTACTCACCCTTCGTGCTCCTCAACACCCTCATGTTCTTCAACACCAAGTTCTTTGGGCTGCAGACAGCGGAGGAGCACATGCAGCTCTCCTTCACCAACGTGGTGCGTCAGTCCCGCAAGTGCACCACGGCCCGTGGCATGACAAAGGTGGTGAGCATCCGCTACTATGCTCCTGCCAAGCAGAAGAAAAGCCGAGGTAGGGTCTGCTGGAGCATCTCTGTCCATCCCCCAGCCCCCCCCTTTGGATCCCAGATGTGATCTTGCTCTCTCCCCCTCTGTAGATGGTGGCTCTGGAAAGCGGAAGCGGGAGGAGGAGGTACCAATGCTGGAGCAGCGGGAGAACAGGATGAACCCACTCCGATGTCCTGTCAAGTTCTATGAGTTTTATCTCTCCAAATGGTGAGGCTTTCTCTGGAGAAGGGGCATGTGCCATTTTGGGGCCACCTCTCAGTTTTGGTGGGACCCTGTGGAGTGACTGCTGGTCTCCAAACATTTCTACTTGAATGTGAACCTTGCCCAGGATCTGTGCTGCTTGTATAGACTGTGGTTGAGAGAATGCTTCTCTCTGGTCCCTCCCACTGCTTGCCTCTCTCCAGACAGGCAGGAGTGTGCAGTATGAGTCTTGGTGCTTGACTAGTTAGGGGCTTTAGTCCTGAGTGAGCAGCTGCAGACTCAGCTCGTGTCCTCATCCTGCCAAAGGATGAGAGGCTGTGACAAGCCTTGATTTTTTTTTTTCCCCCCATAACCAGAAGAGCAGGCCAGGCTTTCTGAGCCCCTGGCACTGATATCCCAGGGCTCACCTTCCTCTTTCTTTACAGCCCTGAGAGTCTGCGGAACCGCAACGATGTCTTCTACCTGCAACCTGAACGTTCATGCATTGCTGAGTCGCCGCTCTGGTACTCGGTCATCCCCATGGACCGGAGCATGCTGGAGAGCATGCTGAACCGCATCCTGGCTGTGAGGGAGATCTACGAGGAGCACAGTCGGCTCAGCAGCCTGGAGGACGACATGGACTAAGAGCAAGGTGCTGCTGGGCTGGTTGTGCTCCAGCCCTTGTCTCCCTGCCTCCCGCTGCAGGGCGGGGGCCATGCAGTGTGGGAGGGGACGGTGCTGCGGCAGTGCTGTCTCTTCATCGTTACTGGACTTGGACATCCCATCCTGCTCATTACAGGTCTCTCCTACGTCCATGGCCCCCATGCTCAGCCCTGCCTCCTGTTCCGACTGCTGGGTGAGCCGTCTTCCCTGGGGCCAGTCCCCACAGCACAGGGGTGGCAGAGCCCCCATGGCAGCTCTCCTTGCCCAGTCCTGTCCTCCCTTACCCCCAGCCCTGACACTACCCCTCTCTCCCCCTGCCTCAGGGCAGGAACCGCACAATATGGCAGAGTGTCATCTGGGACCAGCGGCCCCGAGGCTTTTAATTCTCACTTCCTTTAGCATCCCCTTGAGAGGCTGCAGCTGGCATGGCAGAAAGGGTAGCTCTGCTGCTGCGGCAGGATGGTGTTTTCAAACCAGTGGGGAAGGACCACTGCAGCCTGAGAGCTGTTGGGTCAGGGGCAGGGCTTGTTCCTAGGGGGTGGGAGAGGCAGGCTGCGGGGAGCAGAGGGAGCCAATGCTGGAATGTGAGGGCAGAGAACCAGACCCAGCCTCGCCATGGGATCACCTCCCTCGTACGCAGCCAGGCCCCCTCCCTCAATTTTGTTAATGTTTTCTGAGTTGGCAGAAAACTGATGGAGACGGGTCTGTGTTAGCATTGCCCCTCTCTCCCCACTGTCCCCTGTCCTGGCATAATCCACCTCCCCAGTGCAGTGTGCCATCAGTGGGTCCCTCTGCTCCAGCCAGGGGCTTGGGCAGCTGCTGGCAGAAGCGAGGAGCTCTGCCTGGCCTCCCCCTCCCTCCCAAAGCAGCAGGCTACTAGTGCCCTGCCTGGGGTGAACCTGGCTCTGGCTGTGTCGCTCCCTGCTGCCTCCTGCCTCTCCTCGTGTTCTGGTTGGTTTTCTTGAGCTGTACATGGGTCTCCTGTTGAGCCTGTATATATTGTTCTGGGCCCTGGCCCGGGGCCATCTGTTCTCTGTGTCCATGTGGAGAGTGAGCCGCTCACCAGTCTTGTTGTAGTGATGCCAGGGCGGTAGGACTAACCCTGTGTCTCTGGAAACCATTCATTTCAAATAAAGATGCGGAAAACTTTTGACAGCCCCTGCTTTTCTCCCCTGGGCAGGGTGGGCACTGCTGGAAAGCAGGGCCGCGTACCTTGCTGCTGTCCATCCCTGCCTGCCTGAGCTGCCTGCGCTTCCTACCTTGTCTGGCCTCTGGGGTGCTGCCAGCTCTGGCATGCTGGGCTGGCCCCTGACCCTGTGCCTGCTGGTGCCAGCCAGGCCTGCCCTGCCTGTCTCTTGTCCATGGGGCTACAGTCCCAACCCAACCCAGCAGTGGCCCTGCCCTGGCCACACAGTGTATCCATGGGACAAACCCGTCAGAGCGCGATCCCGCGGTGCCCGTGGGCAAAGTAGGAGTCGAGTGAGGTGCAGTGGGTATTTATTTGCTCCCCAAGGGCTGACAGGCCCCTGCCCCAGCCCAGCCCTATTCTCAGCCCCACTGTTCCCACAAGCACAGGGAGTGGCCAAGCTGTGTCCCTGAGGACCTCTCTCGTGCTGGCTGTGGGGTCCATGCCACGAGCCTGACACGGCCCAGAGACTGAACCACAACTGCACATCGCCAGTCCCTGAGCATCCCAGGAGCCCACGTTCACACTGCCAGGTCCGCGGCTCGCGCCTTCCCGTGGGACCCGCTGGCCACCTCCAGGGGTGCCAGGCCATGGGGGGGTCTGCCAGCAGCCACAGGGCTGCCACTGCTGGGCAGGGTGACACAGGTGCTGCAGGGCCCTGCAGGGCCACCGCGACTAGGCAGGATGCCAGACTTGGGGCCCGGCCTTTGCCGGCACTTGGTGAGACTCAGGTGGTAGATCTCCACCAGGTTGAGCAGCAGGGACACACAGGCCACCCCCAGCATGAAGAGGATGAAGATGGTCTTCTCAGTGGGCCGGGAGATGTAGCAATTGACGGTGTTGGGGCAGGGCCAGCGATTGCAGGTGTAGAGGGGCTTCAGCTGGAACCCATACAAGGCGTACTGGCCCGCAATGAAGCCCACTTCCAAGAGGGCCTTGAAGACGACGTTGCAGATGTACGTCCTTAGGATGGCCCCCCGCATGCAGACCCGTCCCCGTGTGTCCCCTGTAGGGAGCTGAGGCTGCTTGGGGCGCTGCCGCCTGGCCCCACTGCCAGCCCGGGCCACCACTTGCTGCTGCGCCTTCTCCTCCAGATGCACCAGGTGCAGGATGTGGCCCAGGTACACAAGGCTGGGGGTAGAGACAAAGATGATCTGCAGCACCCAGAAGCGGAGGTGGGAGATGGGGAAGGTGCTGTCGTAGCAGGCGTTCTGGCAGCCGGGCTGCTGCGTGTCGCAGGAGAAGCCAGAAAGCTCATCGCCCCATACCCGCTCAGCAGCCGCCCCCAGGACCAGGATGCGGAAGACGAAGAGGACAGTGAGCCAGACCTTCCCCACCACTGTGGAGTGCTCCTGGGCGCTCTCCAGCAGCCGCCCCAGCAGGCTCCAGTCCCCCATGGCACTCGCTGTGGTGCCCTGCAAGACAGCCACCCTCCAGACATGGCCGCAACGCAACACGCCGAACCACCACCCCATCCTCCAGACAGGCAGACATGCAGGGACCCGACCTGGGGCTGTCCCTGGAGCGTCCCCACCCTGCCTCCCATGGGACCCCCTAACCTATACTGGGAAGGGCAGCAGGAGCAAAGACCTCTGGCAGAAAGCATCCTCGCCATGCTGGGAGCGCCTTGGGGGACATGGGGACCCCTCACCGTTGGCAGGCGCGTGGGGTAGAGCCCGGTGCTCCTGTGCTGTTGTCTCCTCTCGGCAGAGCAGTGAGAGATGCTGCAAGGCCCCTTCCCAGCTGGTCCCCAGCTCCTCAGTGGGGTACGGACAGGTCTGCCCAGCTCTGTCCGTCCATCCACCCAACCGTGGGTGCTGGGTTATTGGGGCAGGAGGCGGCTGCATGCCACATTGGCTTTCATTGTGACTGGCAGATGAAACAGCCACTGGGGAAACTTTTTCCCTCTATTTTTGGTCTGGGCTCTTTTCTAAATATACTTGGGGCTGCAGGGCCTGGTGCTGGGGGAGCACGAGCCCTTGGACACTGCTCAATGCCACCCAGGGGTCACTGCTCCTGCATGCTGGCTGCCAGGGTATCACAGCCCCAGCCCAGCCTGGGCACTGCGGCCCCACAGCCCCTGGTGGCACCCACCTGAGCTAGGGTGCAGGGGTGGGCACCCCACACTGGCACCCCAGCCCCTGGCATGTCCCGGCCAGAGCAGAAAGGAGGGAGGCAGTGCCTGAGAACGGAGGTTTAATGGCCCGAGATGCCCTCCTGGCTGTCCAGAAGGGCCAGACCGGTGCCTGAGGGATGCTATCCATGGGAAAGGGACAGCACAGGGCCGTGGGGTGGCTGTGGAGTGGGAGCAAGGGCTGGAACCCCCATGGCACTGGCCCTAGCAGGCAGAGCAGCGGTTGCCCTTTTCCTGCAGCCCAGGGTTACGGCGCAGCATGTCCTTGAGGGAGCCATCCTGCTCCGTCAGCAGTTGGTTGATCTCATTCTGCTTGTACTCAGAGGAGAGCTTGTGCCCATAGAAGGAGCCCTTCCCTGACGAGGGGTTGGAGTTGTGCTGGCCTCGGCGGGCACAAGCCCGCACCACTAGGTAGACCAGCTCTGCCATGTTGAGGACGATGCAGATGCTGGAGGTGACCAGCATGAAGACAGTGAAGATGGTCTTCTCCGTGGGCCGGGAGATGAAGCAGTCGACGGTGTTGGGGCAGGGGTAAGCCTCACACTTGACCAGCCGCACCATCTGGTAGCCTGGGTAGAGCATGTAGAAGATGTACATGAACACGGCCTCGAAGAGCAGCCTGAAGACCACGCTGCAGACGTATGTCCACCATAATGAACCTGATATGCGCATCTTGTGCTTCTTCACCTCCTCCATGTGCTTGGGGTCCCCGTGCCCCGTCAGCACCAGCAGCTTCTTCTCCTGGTGCTGCTGGTAGGCCACGTGCATGGCCACAAGGAGGGCTGGCGTGGTGACAAGGATGAGCTGCAGGGCCCACAGACGGATGTGGGAGATGGGGAAGAAGTGGTCATAGCAGACGCTGTTGCAGCCAGGCTGCTGCGTGTTGCAGGTGAAGGCGGATTTCTCGTCCCCCCAGACGCTCTCAGCTGCCACCACCAGCACCATTATCCGGAAGATGAAGATGACAGAGAGCCAGATGCGCCCGATGGCAGTGGAGTGGCGGTTCACCCCGCTCAGCACTGTGTAGAGGCCGGCCCAATTCATCGTTCCTCACGTCTGCAGAAGCGAGCAGCGAGACGTGTTAGGAGCAGGAAGGGTCCCTGGCTGAGAGCTGCTGTGTCCCGACCCTGGTGGCAGCAGCCCCAGGAGGGACCTGAGAGCAATTGTCTGCCGCAGCCCGGGTAGGTGGACAGCAGGATGGACGGACAGCGGGACAGCACTGTGACTCCCACTGCTGACACAGCTCAGGGCAGTGTTTTAGTTGGAGCAGGCAGGAGATTGGTTGGCCCTGCAGTGCCAGCTGCTCCTCTCCTGCCACCCCACACTGGCATGGGGATCCTGACCCACCCACAGAGCATGGGGGTGAAGGTCCCACCATTCTGCAGGGACCCCTGGTCTCTACCCACAGCTGAGCTCTCTGTCTAGAGATGGACCCAAGGAAATCCACGGGCTCCTCTGCACCAGCACCTCCCTGCCCTCGTCCCCCCATTCCTTGCAGAAGAGCCTAGTTCTGTGGGGACCCCCTGTGCAGCCATGCACTGCCACCCTCCAAGAGCTGTCCCTACCTGGAGAGCATGGGGTGACCCCCCCACCCCAAGCACAGACCCCCGCCCTGCTGGGGCCACCCACCGGCACTGAGCAGCCCCAGGAGCTGCTTCCCACCCCAAGTACAAGGCTGGGGGGCTGACACCTGCCCTCTGGCCACCCCCTGGCATACCTGCCGGTGAGGAAAGGTCCTTGCGAGCTGCCCCCAATGGCCCCTCTAAGGTCTCATGTCTCCCGCAGCAGAGCTCTGCTCCGCCTGCCCTTGTCTCTATCCGCCACTGCCCTGCACTGGAAGTCATATGCTGCTTTATAAACTATTTACATACAATGGGGCCTTTATCGGCCCCTGAACAACACACTTTAGCATTCAGATCCAACGCCCTGACTTCCGCCCACCCAGGCCAAACAAAGTGCCTGTGTGCTGCATTCCCGCTGCCCGGCCCTGCACCCGCTCCCACCTCACCCTGCGCTGACCACGGCCACGGCCCCCCCGCCCGCTGCCCGCGGGGTGCTTGTCGCTCTGCCTGGTGGGCATCGCCAGGCTGGATGTCACCTGGGGCGCCTGGGGGCCCCTTCCCCTGAAGGCAGAGCCCAGCTCCGTGCCCATCACCCATGGATGGCACGTGGGGCACCATGACCAGAGCTGGGGTCTGGCTGCTCCCCAGCGTGGCACTGAGCCGTCTGTGGGCACCCGTGGGGCTGGGTGTGCTGGGAACAGCCACCGTGGGTCCTGCCATGCCCTCAGGGCTTTGCTGCAGGGGGCTGGTGCCAGCAGTGACAGCTGTGAGGGTGCTGGAGCTGCCTTGTGCGTGCCTCGTCCCGCTGGGGACATGGGAAAGAGTCCGCTGGGGTGACGCTGGCTGCGTGCTAACAGAGGCTGAGCTCAGGGCTGGGACCTGCGCTCCTCTCCCAGGATAGGGGTCACTGATACTGCCCCGCTGCTCGGACACACTGGTAGGGGCAACAGTCCCTGTGCCTGTGTCCCTCAGGGCTGGCGTCTCAGCCACACTGTCACACTGTTCCAAATCCCCATGGGGATTGTGTTGTGTCCCTCGGGTTTTGTCCTCAGCCTCAGGTGGGGAGCAGTATCAGTACTACCTACTAGCTGGGGGCCCACAGGGTGGTGGGGTGACAATGCCGTCCCCAATGCCACCTCCACCCCTCAGTGCAGGGTGCAGGCACCTGGAGCTGCGTAAATGGTGGTGGACAAAGCCCCCCCAGTGAAGCTGCGGGGAAAGCAGCCAGCACTCAGGCCATGCTCTGCTCCCCCCATGGGCGCCAGCACCCCGAGCTCTGCCCTCCCTGGCCCACAGCCAAACCTTTCTGCCATTCCCACCCTGGACCCCTCGTGGCCCCCCAGCTGGGGAACGCGTGGCCCCCCCCCGGCAGTGCTATGCCCACCAGGCTCTCACCTCAGCACCAGGACAGGCGAAGCTCTCAGGGAGCTCAGTGGCCTCTGCCTCCAGCACAGCACCCTGGACTTTATACTGCCCTCCGGCACGTCACCCACACCCTCCCAAACAGCCGGGCTCCTTCCAGGACTTGCTCCCTGCCAAGTAAACACCGCAGGTGTGTCCAGCCTGCGCTCACACCACCAAAGCACCCACCGGCACCCACCGCCACAGCCAAACTCGCCCAGGGACAGCCCAGGGGCCACCACAGCACTGAGGCAGGGCCAACCCCCAGGATGGTCCCCGTGGGAGCTCTGTGGTCCCCCTGGCCACGCTCCCTGCTGCGAGCATCCTCCCCGCCACATCCCCTGCGAGCCCAGCACCATGATGGGGCCCCGCTCTCCATCCCGGGGGACTGCTCTGGGCACCCCCAGCACACTCAGCACCTTGATCCGCTGCTGCAGGCTGCCGGCTGGTCCCTGGGGAGCCACCAACACCCAGATTTAGTGTGTAAAAGTGCAGCCAGGAAAGGCAAACAGCCTGTCAACGATTAACCGAGCTAGCGGCCTGCTCCAAGGTCCCCCAGTGTGCTGGAACATGATGACCCTGCTCGGCATTTTGGGGCCCCAGTGTGGGCTGCAGGACCCCCCACACCATCCCCTGCATGAGGATGGCAGTGGTGCTGCTGTCCCCCGCATGAGGATGGCAGGGTGGCACTGTGGGGTGCCGAGGGGTGCCGGGGGGTGCCCGGGGTCCCCCGGCAGCGTGGCGGGGCGGTGGGCTGTGAGGGGCCAGGGGCCG